AGCTCGGGGTTCCTCTTGGGCGGGGCGCGGGGGGAATCCCGGCCGGTGACGAGCCGCGGGGATGAACACTGAGAAGCCGCCCGCTCTGGTTAACTTGGAGAAGAGACGCCGTCGGGTGCCTCGGTCGCAGCCAGTGAGTCCCTGTGCGCGGGGCCAGGGGTGAGCGTGGGGGCCAGGCAGGGAGAGGGACACCCCGGGCCAGTGGCCACGGCAGCTTGGCACTTGCTGCAGCCGGAACTTCCTTCCCGTCTGGAGTTGTCATCACTTTTCGTTATCGTCGGGCACAAATGAGCAGCCGCGGGGAGGATGCGGGCTCCCACGCTGGCAGCCTGTAAACTACAATTTGATGTTTAGAAAGATCGTCTCTAGGAATTATTTTGAGGAACTCCTGTGTTCTCTAGATGGTCAGACTAGAGGACCGCCAATGGCCCTGTCTCCGGTCTTGGCTTCTCTGAAACAATATGATTTTTTTTCTCCCTTGAATGGTGACCCAGGCCTTAGTCTGATCTGTGTTTATAGACGTGGTGAGCCAGAGTCTTCTCTCGCACTTCAGAGCAAGCCCCAATGAGATTAAGATTGTATTGCTCTGCCTGAGAGGAATATTTCTGATTAGTAGATCCTTTTCCCAGATATCCAGATGGACTTCTTTTCATGCACTCTAATGGCTTGAGTGAAGAACTAGCTGTAAAAATCCTTGAGTTCTAAATCGAATTCTGTCAGAATCCTTGTATAGTCTTGGACAGATCACTTGATCTCCATCTGTTTCCATTTTCCTGTCAGTGAAATGGAGATAATAGCTGCTTTAAGTGCTTTTAGAAATGAGATCTGAGGGAGCATGTAACTTGCTTTCAAGAATGGTAGTTGCTTGATTACACGGTATTTGATAATTGTATCAAAATGTATTTACTTTCCTTACTAAATACAGTAGCTTGAAGGGTTTTTATTTGGGGTAAATTCATGGGATAGATACTGTGTATTTTCTCACTTGAACCTGATCACTGTTGCCTTCTATTAGTTTTCTAATGCCAATGTTGGCTTTTAAAATGAGTATTCTGCACTTGTTTGGTGCTTTGAGAATAGAAACTGGTGGTAGATTCTCTTTTGAGCTTTCTCTCTATCTTTTCATCTGTTAAACTATGACCAGGCTTTAATACAGGGTTAGTATTTTTCTGACATTCATGGGATCAGTATTCAAAAAGAGTCTGACCACATGCGAGTTTGCAGTTCTCAGTGTTTGATGCGAGGATTAATATTGGTGGTGTGGGGAGGGGAAAGGAAACACTACCTAGTATAAATGTCTTAACTTATTACACAGATGGAGAGGAATAAGAGGTATGGGTGCAATAACTCTAGTTTCATTTAATATAGTCTGCTTTAAACAAGGTAATTATGACTCTAGATTTGAGGCAAGAAAGCTGAAAACCTGATCAGATTGCAATCTAACCTGATTTGACAGTCACTGTTTAAGATGACTGGACACCTTCCCCCTATTAAGTGATAGTCTGTAATTCATAGACACGTAAGGTGTTCATAACACATATTAAAAGTGATTAAGAATGAAGCCACCTTGTCAGAGGCTAGGTATGTCTCTGACAAATGTTTAGCGCTTCACAGCTGTCAGCCAACAGTCAGGGCAGTGAGTCCCTTGTGACCGGCTGAAGTTCTTTTAAATTGTGCTTGGTTCTGTTACAGCAACTGAAGGAGTCAGGTTAAAGCTTAAACAGTTACTATTTTATTGTTACAGGGTAAACTTAGTTGTTAAATGCTGCTGCTGTGTTACAGATAACACAGCCACTACAAAGGACAGGACAGAAATTACACTAAGAAGTCACTTATAGGTACCATGAAACCCTTTTGGTTCTCTGAGCTCTTATTAAATGCATGCAAATAGATACCTAGCAAGTATATATTCTCACCCCTGCGTTCCAGACTTGGCGTGGCCAGCGTCTTTCTCTCAATCCCTCGGGAAGAAGTAGGGCGATGTTGGGCGTCCCACAGACCTCGGGAGACAATCAATACCTGCCAGCAGCTATAGATAATTGGAGCTCAAATGGGGTGGGCTACTATATCCCTCTTTATACCCCTTGGGTCATGTAGGCTTCTTCCTGGTCTCAAGTGGCCAATTAGGAAAAATGGCTTTGAATGCCAAGTTTCCCACTAAGGGTGCAAAGCATAATTTACACCTGGGAAAATGCAGACAATGGGCACCTCTGGTATGTGATGGGCGAAGATTCCTCTCC